TCTTCATGACAAGACATTGCTGTGTGAAGATCTTGCATAGTGGTTCATCATCGTGTCCAAAGCCACATTCAAAACAGTCTGCTTGGCCTTCTAGTGTTCAATTGTGTGCGCTGGTGGCATGAGATTGACAAAGGCCCAATCTACTCTTTTTGAGGCAGAGCGGACAACCAACACTGCAGCTCCAAAATAGTTTGCGCGTCGCATGTGAAGCCACTGTTCGCTGAGCATAGCCGTTCGAGATGTTGAAGCAAGACACATGTTTTATTTGTTCCTGATCAAGTCCAAGAAAGATGCATGCGTGATGTTAGTACGCAATCAAATATAGATGGCGCAATAGTCCACTCATCACTGTCACCATCGGGTCTGTGGTCCCGCGGGGCACGTGCACTGCGCGTCGGTGCGCATTCCCGGAATGGCTGGAGGTTGCTTCCGGTGCTGCTTGATGCTTAGAGTCACATTGCTGTCATGTAATGTTCAACGCGATTTTTCTAGGACATGTTTAAACATAGTCAATCTTTGTTTGGTCTCATACAGACCTTCTACAAAAGGATCTTTCTTGCACAGCAGCGTCTAGAAAGAACCTGTCAAGGAGATCTTGCACACGTCTTCTACAGAGATCTTTCACAAAGGGAACTTGCGGAATCCAATCTGGTATCCTTGCAACGCTGTTTGGAGTCTCTTGCCGGGATACTTTGGGGGGTGCACCTTCGATCCAAACTAGGAATGGAAAATCACACTAGTGTAATCGATTATGAAAAAAACAGGACATGAAAAACGGAACAATTAATTTTGCATTCCTGTTTGATTGAGTGTGCCACATCTAGCCCAAGTAGAGATTTTCCAGCACCCCATGTAATTTTGACAGTAAAACCATATTTTATAGATGATTTCCCAACTATCAATCATCCAGTTTCGACCATTATCAACATAACCCCAACAGTTTCCCCTTGAAATGGGTACGAAATCAGCAGATTTTGTTTTGACGAAATCAGCAGAATTTCCCTTGCATTTCTCTCTGCCTCATCACCTTTAAATTCCAGCAGTGTCAAAAACCCTTTGGTTCATTGCACATATTTCCCATTGCTTCATGTTTTGCCAAACAACATCCCAGATATGGCACGAACTCGGTATATCATCCTTCTCGCCTTCGAACAGGACGAACTGATGGTGTGCGCATTTTTTGTCATTGTATGTGTTCAGATGATAAGCTAATATAATTCACTAGGTCAATTATTTGATCCAGTAAAAACAATATTAGAGGAATAAGAATAGTTAGAATAAATAGACATATGATACACTTGACCTATCAGCCTGAAAGCATGACATGGACAGCTCTCTTGAGAGCATTCGGCACAATGCAGCACCTGTAAGTCAGCACAACGCACTGCAAAAACGCTAGCAGTGCATTAGCTGCGGTCACGGCAGCGGCAAACTCCAGCCATGTTTGAGTTGCCAGCTCAGTCCAAAAAGGGACAAACACGTCGATCAATATGTCTAATTATGATCCTAATTGCACCTTGTCCGTCCCATCCGAAATCGAAGACGGTTGCGCTTCGCAGGTTTTCGTCGGCTCACAAATGATGCGGGCTGGAACGTGATTCTTGCCAGGTGAGTTGCTTGTAAGGAAGTGTGCTGAAAGTTGAGTGCTCATCCCTATTATCTGAGCATCCACGCGATTCAGTGGGTAGGTATGGTCAGCTTGTCATGGACTGGGCAACTTTCACATTTCCAGCTGAGTACTACTGTTCGTAGTATCCCCATGAGAAAACAACTTTATAACATTTTATAACCGTAATTTGCTATTATTTCGATTTTTTCAACCAACTAATTATTGGTCCCATCATCTATGTGTAGTATCTGCATATTATCTGCATTTGGAACCACTCTTCGTCTCCCCAAATGAGTTGCCACTTCGTGACCATTGTGACATCAGCCATGCCCAGTTTGGATGGCTTGGAGCAAGTCGAACCCAGCCCTTCGGAGGCGCTGTTGGCGCGGGTGCTGTGGATCACCATCTTTTCGTTTGGTAGACCAACGAACTTTCTGTGGGCCATGGCTTCCAGTATGCCAATTTATGGCACCTTTGAGTGGGGGAAAAATGGCGCAATGAATTTGGGGTCCCAATTACTCGAGAAATCAGATATAGGGTGGATGCGCCAAATTTGTGATCCCATCGTTTGTCACAGTTTACAGCACCCCCCAAAATCAAGGTGAACAGGATTTTTGCGGCCGCGAATTTGTACATGAGGCTATGTCATGAAGCAAAACTGCGATGATGAAGGGTATATACATGGTAAATTGTCTAGGTAAATGGTACATGTATATATGATATCTCAATTTCTAAAACTTTTTGGGGTGTACCACTACCCATGGAACTTTCGAGTCGATTGGTCAGGTCAACTTCCAGATCGAGGGAAGCGTGCGCGTGTCCGGCCGAGGTTGTACCATTCCGCTCTCCCAGCACCGTCACCGTTGAGGAGGCTGGGACCCTGGGATGGATGGTCGACAGGTGCACAAGGTAGGGGTTACCCCCAAATAGTGATGTCATGTAGCTCATAAACCATTAAAAACCCCAATAGCTATAGCTATATCTGCCATGCCAAGTATCCCATATTTTCCAATTATTATCTACGCATCCAATAATTTTGGTTGCACAAAACCTCTCCACCACTGGGAACGCAGGTTTTTAAGACGTTCGAGAGTTGGGGTGTTGTGCTCAGGTATCAACAGGGTGAGTTTGACATGCAAACAGAGATGGAACTAAGAAAGATGCTGATTTTACCTTTAGAAACTGTGATTTGGCCTTGAACAATGCCGATTTTACCCACGAGAAATTGTGCTTTGACCCGGCAAGAATGGAGATTTGACGAACAAACATGAAGATTTAACCAATGAAAGAGTTGGCGTTTCAATAAAAAGGGGGGTGCTCAATTTTGAGCTTCGCGCCCTTTGGTGATCAGTTGATCCGGACGGTGCCGCTTGTACGTGTGTCCCTGAGGTGTACCGTATCTGAATCGCAGCCGCTTTTTAGCTCCAGATGGCAGGAGCGAAATGTGTAGCACCATGCCACGTCTATGTCATGCCCTTGATGCAATTTGGCAGTGGCCGATTCGCAAATTTGCACTTGCCTTGCCTAGTGAACTTCAGATTTTCAACTTTTTTTTTTTGCGAATGTTCGCAGTTCTAGGTCCTTAGGTCGGTTCTAAGTCGGCAAAAGCATCTACAAATAAATAGTTCTGACATCATAGTTCTGCAAATAAATGTTAAGCATGCTTGATGTGATAGTTCCACTGCAACTATAATCACCAATGGTTGATAATTATGATTCACCATCTAGGGAGATGAAAGATAAAAAGTTGCACGCAGTTGTTGCACGCCGTTGTGGCGCGAAGCAGATTTGGAAATCAAAAGATACAAAACACAGCAGCGTCGGAGCACTTTTGAAACTTGAGATGTTGAAAAAGTGCACGGCGTTGTGGCGCGAACACGACACTACGCTACACCCTACCCTAGACTACACTACACGACACTACACTACACTATACTACACTATACTACACTATACACTACACCACAGCACACGACACGACACGACAGGACACGACACGACGCTACACTACGCTGACACTACGCTACACTACATGACATTACATTTACATTACTTTACATTGCATGACATTACATTACATCACGCTACACTACAGCTACACCTACAGCTACAATTACACCTACACTACAACTACACAATCACAACTACAATTACACCTACACTACAACTACATGACAGCTACAACTACAACTACACTACGCTACAGCTACTACTACACTAGACTATACAACTACACTACACTACAACTACCCCACACTACACTACATGACGCTACACTACACTGCACTGCTTCCAACCACCTTGCAATCCATCAGTGGATTCGTTCTGCCATTTTTGCGTCGCACCCTCTTCTATAGTTTGCTATTCCTGAAACTTCCGCCACCGCCTTGTGCGGTACTACTGGTATTTTGCAACGGCTGGAATGTTTGTTTCGCAGGAGAAAGACAAAAATCAGACTATTTAAGCATCCCCGTACCGCTCCTGCAGGAGAACAGCGGGCCCATAACAAGAGGGACATAGAGGAACGCGCAGACGAAGAAACCGCTATTTCTACCATTTTAGGCGTCGTTGGGTGGTATGAGAGTCAATTGTTTGACAGGGCCCTGGCAGGCTCTGGATTAGGTTAAAACATGTTAGAACTGAAACATGGGTTCAGCACAGCGGCAGTTGCATAAACTGCTGTTTGCGGGTTGTGCTTCACAGGTGCAGTGGATTAAGCAGCACGGGCGCCCAATTCTATGCTTGGATTAGCTGAGAGTGTCCAAATTTCAGATCTTGTTGTTTGGAAGGGCGGATGTTTTTTACAGCTGAGTCAGTTGGAACAGCCATCACTATCTGTCCCAAAGTTCGTGCGTGACACGGTCAATTTTCATAACACGCCTGGTAGTGATTTCGCCACGTGATTCCCCCCAGACATGGACACAGTTTTGTGGCATGGCTCATCAGTACCTGACCTGTGCTCTCGGAGCCGGGAGTTTGTTGAGAACAGCAGAGCATGAGCACAGGCAATGGTTTGCAATGTGGTCCAAAACAATGTAGAAGCAGATTTCAATCGTTTGTAGCAATTTGCAAAAACATTGTTGCTGTTGTCACCAGTAGACCTGTGCTCTCCGAGCCGGGAATTTGACTTTTTTTGGCCTTCAACTTGGGGCCATGGATCTGGTGGTCGTTCTTGGGCTACGGCCCGGAGAGGAGCTGCCATGGCAATGCGTTCAAGATGCGAATGTGCGTGGCCTCCTACAGCAGCCCAGTAGGAGGACCACAACAATTTACGTGCGGATCGGTGATTATCAAGAGAATTGGCATCTGAAAGCTTCCTGTGCTTTGCCTTTCCGAACCCAGGAATGCACTTCCTCCGATATCAGTTCTGGGACATTCAGCAACAATGCAGGAGCATATGATGTTCTGAAAAGCTGTCAATTTCCAGAAATAGATGCAGATGTTGCGGAAGCAACTATGGTGAGGGATGATAGGCTGTTGCAGAGGGATGATAGGCTGTTGCAGAGCATGCAAAATTTGTGTGGCCGCTTGGCAGAAGTCCAAGGCACAGAGGATCGGCAAAGGAAGCGGCGGCTTCAGAAAGCTGGTCAAAATTTGGCTGGCATCTTACAAGCTCGCCAAGGCCCAGCGCCCACCCTGATGAGCGTGGCCCAGAAGCAAAGTTTTTTGACGGCTACAGCCAGTTACTTGCAGGATTTGGGCCCTGACAATTCTTCTGAAATGCCCAACCTGGGTACTTGGTGTACGGTGGCTACCTCAGAATTTGGGGCTTGGTTGAAGCCTGGTGTGCCTGGAGATACGCGGCAAGTCCTCTTGCTGCTCTTGCGGCAGTTACAACAGAAAGCCCACTTTGCTGTGCAACATGGTTTGGCGCAACCTGTGAAAGGGGCGCTTGTGCGCACGACTGACCATCGGAGGACTGATGGGCAGCACGTTGCTAGATTGCTTATGCTGGAAGATGCAGGCTCAACAACTGCAAAGAACTGCTATATGTGGGTTTGCCCGCGCGTGAAGCTGGAGACGGCTTTGCGAGAAGGTGCGGCCGATGTTTGGGGCCTGGGTTCACTCCATGTCGTGGTTGGCAGTTCCAACATGAGAGGCAGCCAGCTGAGCTTACAGCCTGCTTTTTCAGATGAATTCTCGGAAGGCACAGAAGTTTGCACAGTGCAGCTTGCAGACATTCATGAGTTTGTTTTTTTGTTTCACGCCATCGTGGCAGCCTGTCGCACTAGACCCCCAGCATCAGCTCTCCAAACTGCAAGCAAAGATTTATTGTCCATGCCCCCGCTTCTCCAGCCTTCCGTGCCTGGATGGGGATTGGCCCCGTCAGACCAGAGACAGCCATCTGGAACCAGCTGCTGGGTGTGAATCGGGAGGAGCTATTCAAATTTGCAGAATCTCAGCTTGGCCTCCATCTGACCATGGGTCAGCAAGACATCATGCGCCAACTGAACGGCGTTGTAGCCGTGATCAATAACTTTGCTGGAGGGGGGAAGACAACTTTGCTGGCTGTCATTGCTTCGTACATCATCCAGCAGTTCCAGGAGCGAGCCCCCGGGTCCCGTCCTTTGGTTTTCTTCATGAGCACGACGAAGAAAGTCGTGCAAGATTTTGTTGCTGAATTACAGGGACATGTGCCTCTTGAGGCCACAGCAATGCTCGGATTTGAAGAATCCGAAGGGGACCTGTTTCAGAAGTATTTGCAGGAGGCCGCGGATCGCATGTTCACAACTTTTGCGAAGATGTATGGCAAACTAGATGCCATCATCGGCCAAATTCATCACTGGCTTTTGAATATGGTCGTACCTGTGCTCACTGAGCCGGGAAAATATCTCCGATTAGCCTTATTGCTTTTGCAATGGAGAGGCTATCATTTGCAGAATGTTGTGTATAGCCAGATTTACAGGATCAAACAGGAAGCGGTGCAAAAGGTGGCTCTCATCGGTTCCACCACCTCCTACATGGCCAAGCTAGCTGCCAGTAACATTGGTTGGGCACGCTCGCTCAAAGAGCGACGCAAACTGATTCTGTTGCAGGACGAATACATGGGGGAACCTGCTGAAAGACAAGCGGTGAACCTCCTAGACTTTGAGGCCGTGCTGTTGGCAGGTGACCCGCACCAGTGCGTGGCTCAGCGACCGCAGCTGTCGCCAAATGCCGCATCATTGGCACAGCTCGGGCCACGAGCTGAAAGGCCACTCCAGTGGCACCCATGCCTGACGTGGCTGGAGAACCACCGCCACACCCAACGCATCCTCAACCATGAGACTTTCAGAACTGGAGAGCCAGCGATGAGCTTTCTGAAAGCTGTTTTTGGGAACGAGATGCTTGGCGAATGCATTTCCAAGGCCAACCATTCTACTGCAGTGATTCCAGTTTTGTTTTGGGAGGTTTGGGATTGGATTCCTGGAGGTAGCGGTGAATGCCAACGTTCACTCACAATTTTCTCCGCCATTGCGTTTGTGCTGGCGGCGGAAGTGCTGAAAAGCTTGCAAACGGCAAAGCCGTCAAACGTGGTCATCACTGCTTTTCTGCTGACGCAGCTCCGAGCACTGGAAGCATTCTTGCACACTGTGGTGCCTCAGCTATGTTTGGCCATGCAGGGCATGGCTGGGTTGGAAGGTGTCACAGCAGACCAAATCAAAGGTGTTATGCAACTGTGGCAATTTCGCGGCCCATACAGTGTGGGAGGAGCCAACTCTGATGTGGCGATCTGCTTGGGGGTGCGGCGGCAGGTGACAGATAAAGCTTGGCGGGGTTTGGCTTTGGAAAAGCCGTTGATTTACACGGCGCTAACCCGCGCCAAGCACCGACAATACCTATTTTTTGAAGACCTACGGGGTGAGGTTGTTCTCCCACATCGTGGGACGCTGGCAGCCACGGGGCGGGCCCTGGGCCTGCGCAATTTTGCCATTCCCACGGCCCAACTGAACGCCACCACAGTCGAGTCCCACTTGCTTTGGACAAGGGCATTGTGGTCAAGTGTCGAAATCTTTCAAAGAGACTTCGACAGACAACCCTGGTGGAGTTGTCGCCCTGAAACACCATGGCTCTTTTGGAGCCCGAAATGGCGTGGCATGATGGGTTTGCAAGGTCCAAGTGCATGGCCGGACATGATGTGTTTGGTTGCCAGCACATTTGATGAGATGATTTGGCCGGACGAGGGTGGAGAAGATGGGGAATTGGCTGCAACCTTTTTTCGTCACATCACACTCCCACAGGTCTCTCCGACCGGGAACCGCCCAGTTCCATCTGCAAAGGCGTTTCAGGACAGGATCTTGGCTCGCCCAAGGCGGGAAGTTGTGCTACAGTTCTGGTCTTCTATGGTGATCGACAACCTTGCTGTCTCTTATGGAACCAAGGATGCAGTTGTTCAGATGCCACTGATGGCTTACATGTCACCTGAAGCTTGGGCACGGCTGCTTTTGCCGGATGAGGCAGCAGACGTACGCGAGGCAGTCATTGACCCGAACTACGCCGCAGAGATCTTGGTCGCGCGGGCTTTGGACATGTGCACGCAGACGCCAGAGGCTCGGGATAAGGGTTTCGAAGGGGGCCGGTGAAACATGCTGCCATGCATTTGTCATTATCGTGCTCTAGTTCCCAATATTGTACGAATTTTGGGTATCTGCTGGGATACAAGCTTCTCATTGGTTATGGACCTGCTTGCGCAGCAGGTAAGCCCAACTGTTGCATGGTGCCGGGTCTTTCATGTGTAAGGGACGTGCGGTCATGTTGTGGCTGCTGTGTTGCTCTTTGTGCACAAGAGCTGGTATCCCGACCCACAGCGCTGATAGATGCTAGCTTTTTACTGTTCACGGGGCTGCTCGTGCAGGCATGCTCACCGAATGTGCTGGCTGGGAGCTGGCTGTGTGCTGGCTGCCTCATCTAAGCCGCCCATCCCCCCCACCCTACTAATAGATGTAGTTGTTGCATGTGCAGCAGGTAATCTTTGTGGACCTGCCTTCGCAGCAGGAAATCCCAACTGTTGCATGGTGCCGGGCTTTCATGTGCAAGGGACGTGCAATCATGTTCTGGCTGCTGTGTTGCACGCTAGCGTTTTATTGTTCGCGAGGTTACTTGTGCAGGGCATGGCCACCCAGTGTGTCAGAGATGCATTCGCATGTTCTGGCTCTAGGTGCTGGCTGTGTGGCTGCCTCATCTAAGCCGGCCTTCCCCCCCCACGCTAGTGATAGATGCAAGGTTTTTTATTGTTCATGGGCAGCAAGCAATTTGGGTAGCAGTGGACCATCGACGGGTTTGTAGTGGCTTTCTAGGTATTGCCCTACACTTAATAAAGATGTCAGCGTCGAATTCTTTTCCCCAAATTCGAGATGTTTGGGTGTAAATATGTTTCTCGTTCAAACACTATCAAGCAAGGATTCATGTGATGGAGCTTCTGTATGGGGGCTGAAACATGGGGCATGACCGAGAATTTCACACGACCAAGATACCATATTTGAGTGTATAAGAAACAGTGGACCATGCAGCGGTTTGTTCCTTTCCATGTATTGCACACCACATTAGAAAGATGTCATCGTCAAATTCTTTTCCCGCATATATGACTGGCATGTTCTGATTGAGACCGGGTGCAATCCACACCTACCTGTTTACCTGTAACTACGATAGGCCTATGTTTCTCATTCCAGCAACATCAAGCGAGGATTCATTCGATGCAGCTTCCGCATTGGGGCTGAAGCATTGGGCAGGACGTAGAAATTGAAATTGAAATCGGTCGTTTGCTTATGTTTCGCTCAAAAGAAATGGATGCTTACTTCAAATGCAAGCTTTTGCTTTGGCCCATCTGTTTACAGTTGGTAGGTGAAATTGACTGTTGAGTGGATGGTCAAGCAGAGGCTCACGGTTTGATTGGTGGATGCAAGAGCACGCATCAAGATATATCAAGATAGTGGTCACTAGGGATTGTTTGCTTACCCGCTACAAGTGTTTCAGTGATTTGTCTGCGTTGTCAGTCAAGCAGTATTTGCGGCCCCAAAGCTAAAGTGCAGAATTTGCAGGAGCGTTAGGGTGTTGGCTCAAGGTTGCAGCAAAGCAGGGCTTTCAACCCAGTGTGCGCTAGACCGCGTTGCGCGCAGGCATAGCTCAATTGAAACGGTGTGCGTGCAATTGGCCAGCTGCACATGGTTCTGCACTTTGTGCCAAGCAAGCTGTTGTCTGTAGTGTTTCTGCTTGGGTAGACATTGGTAGCTGAGCGGATGCCTGGGTTGCTTGCTGCTGCATTTGACTAGACTTTCGGCATGGCTAATCGATATGATATGATGGCAAAATCGCCTTTGGAAGTAGCTGGGGAATTGGCCTATCAGGCCACAGACCTTGTCGGCCTAGCTAAGGGATACCATGACCAAACCGCTTTGTAATCGAATTGATTTGCCATGTCAGGCCACCGACCTTGTGGAGCAAGGTGTGAGACTGGAGCAGCAAACAACGGTACACAAATGGGATCCTGTCACGATCGGAGTGCAGGAATTTTACATCCCACAGTGCCGATCAGAACGCCCGGCCTACACCATTCGAGCCGTAGCGTCTTCGGCCACCACTGAGCTTCTCCATACCTACTGTTGCATGGGCTTAGAGCGAGCCCATGAGCATCAGCAGGTGGTCTTGTCCAGGTGCAGATCGCACAGTGTGGCCCGGTGCATCATGCTGGCCGCTGCTGAACTCTTCGGCCACAAAGTGCGCAGAGAGCTCGTTTGCAGCGCTATTCCTGAAGAAGCCGGGAAGAAGGAACAAGTGGAGAATGAATGGAGGGAGTGGCTCGAGCTCCTTGCGGAAAGGGAAACAAGGAGACTGCCGTCCTTCGATGCCGAGGATGTTGACACCGAAATTGAGTTGAGTGTTCCCGTGGAGCTGCGGGACGCCTGCCGGGAGATCTTGGCGGCTTTGAGATGAAATGCAGTGAAAAAATTATTCCTTCCTTGAAACTTTGAAGTTGCATGCTCTTGGAATGGTTTGGAACGTTGCACTGTGCTCTATCCCGGTTTGTCAATGGAGAACCCCAGAGAAATTTCCGTGGAATCGCAGTGATTTTCTGTGTGATTTGGCTGTCGCTTTCAGGATTTCACGATGACAGTCGGGAACCCCATGGTTGGTCTCCCCAAGCGTCCACAGTGCATCCCTCATCTCCAATACGCATTAGCACGGTATTTCCATTGCACTGGGCGCGCCATGTAGTATGCCAGCAATGTATTTAGTTGGTATCGACTCGCTGGCTCAAGTTTTGCAATTTGAAATTCTGGTAAGGAGAGGGACCAGCTTTAAACCTTTACGGATTGTTGGAACCGCGTGAGATGTTCCTTGTGCGATTCGGATTCTAGCTATCTACCTATCTATCTATCTATCCTTCTTTCTTTCTTTCTAAGACTCTTTACAGGGAGTTGGGATTGGTGAGACCCCGACAGGAGTTCTTTGAAGTAAGTTATCTATCTATCTACCTTTCTTTCTATCTTGTAGTCTGTCTATCTACCTATCTATCTATCTATCTGTCTAAGACTCTTTACAGGGAGTTGGGAATGGTGAGACCCCGGCAGGAGTTCTTTAATGTAAGTTATCTCTCTATCTAACTATCTATCTACCTATCTATGTTTCTATCTATCTATCTAACTATCTATCTATCTATCTCTATCTGTCTATCTATCTACCTATCTATCTATATCTCTATATCTATCTGTATGATCACAAACATCCACAGTTTGCATGGTTTGCTCCATGGATTTCGCAAATCATGTTCCACCTCTTCCAACAGTTCCCAAGATGTTCCGGATTTCCCACCAAATCTGTGCCAAAACTGCGTCACTTCAGGCGAACCTACCAGTGCTTGGAGCCCGCGGCCAAGTTGTGAGGCAAGTTGTGAGGCCGGATGGAGATCTGGGGGTCCCAAGCCATCCGAAGTGTTGCCTATTTTAAGGCTTATACTTCCATTATTATTGTTGATGTGTTATGATATATGTAGTGGGGTAGATGTTTATATTGTTTATTTATCATTGACGAAATTGATGGTTGGAATTTATGATTGATCATACGGATTGTGACAGCCCATAATTTACGGGATACCTATTGACCAAGCTGTACGGTGAGATGTGATGTGCGTAATTTCATGGCTCAATTTATCCATCTGAGAGGCAGCAACTGTCGTTCAATGATGGTTGGCAAGCACCAGCATGCCAGAGTCTGCCAGAGATGAATTGTTACCAGGAAAATTAGATGCAACATCAACATCCCATCCAGACATATGCAGACAACCGAGAGTCGAAACTTCAAGAACTTCCTGAAAACTCTGATGAGTGGCTAATCCAGCAGGGTGACGAAATCACAAGTCTTAGCAATGAAAAGTGTCCAGCTCCCAAAGAACATATGACCTGCAGGATTAGTCTAGCTGGCCTCGTTCCTAGATAGGAGGCTTCACAATTGAGATCCCAGCAACGAATATCACGAATTTTGCGGGTCTAAATGGTACCCCATGTTTGTGCCATATTTACGCCATACTTACAGATATTATATATATATAGACACTATAATATATATATATGTACATCATTGATATTATATCATGTACCAACTGGTTGTTTGCCCTCCTTGGATCATATAAAAAAGGGTCCTGTGCTGTTCAGGTGGTTCTCCGCAAGGAGCTAGGCAGGGTTCAGGGGAAGACTGATTGTTTTTCCATTTTTTGGCAACTTTGATGGGGAAGAAGATGCTTTCAAACCCCATTCAACCACTGGATTTCAGCTTTGGCACTGAACCTCTTTGGCCTTACCGGACTGCTGTGCCAGGTTTCTCCAAATCTGACGCCAGCCGATTCTCGTGAAGCGAGCCGGTGCGTTTTCACTTTGAGCGAGGTTTTTTCAATCTTCCAAAGTCTTGCTGTTTGAGTGAAAAGGTTGTAGAATGCTTCAACATCTTGGGCAAAATCGAAGAACCTCGTTGCTGTTGCCTCTTGATCATTCTGTTGTTAGCATGTTCTGCCAACACTTAGCAGACTGACCAAATGCATACCTATTCTTCGGAAAAGGATGGCTCGAACGGCTTCTCTACTTTTTGATTTTACTTACGGAGCAGGCTTTTGAATCTGTACATCGTGTTGCTCTGCTCAGGTCCCATTTACCCAATCCCACCAACTGCAGTGGGCAGATCGAGAAACGGAAGTGCTTCTTGTGAGTAGTCCCATGATAAGTCATGGAACCTTCCATATGGGTATGGATGGTGATATGATCACAAAAAGGATAACATGAATGATTGTGATGATTGTGGATCGTATGGTGATGGGGATCATATATGGATACGGATCATTTTATGGGTGTAGATCATACTAAGAATGACCCAAGATGCTCCCCCGGCCCCTCCATTTTCACGTCGACCCGTCAGGCGGCTCGCTTCTACACCTAAACTTGCGAAAAGTGTTGCATTAATATTCCAGGCATGTAAACTCGCCCACGCCCCAACAAGGCATGGATGGATTTTTGGGAGAAAATGTGCATACATTGTGGTTAGTTCGAACATTCCACCTTCTTCACATAAGTGTCTTCCCCACCCCGCTCAACTGCGCTTGACACCCTTCGCCACTTACTCCCCGTCGGCCGCCCCACTCGCCCCATTCGACCCCACTCGCCCCACTCGCCTCCCTCGCCTCACACGCCCCACTCGCCCCACTCGCCCCACTCGCCCCACTCGCCCCACTCGCCCCACCTCCCCAATCGCCCCACTCGCCCACTCGCCCCCTCTCGCGCCACTCCCCCCCCCCCACTCCCCCACTCGCCCCACTCGCCCACTGCCACCAGCTCTCCCCACCTCGCCCCACTCTCCCCCCTCTCCCACACTTCCATTCACACGTTTTACCACCGTCTATTCCTTTTCATACTGCTGGTGGGTGAAACCAAAGCAAGCGGGGCAAGCGGGGCAGCGTTTCAGCGGGGCAAGCGGGGCAAGCGGGGCAAGAGGGGCAAGAGGGAAGAACCACCGATCTTCCCTCGGTTTGCAAGTAGGGCAAGCGGGGCAAGCGGGGCAAGCGGGAAGATTCACTTATTTTCCCTAGAAGCGGAGCAAGCGGGGCAAGCGGGGCAAGCGGCAGAAATCACTTAGCGGCCCCGCGGGGCACCCACACTGCAACGTTGCTTATATTGACGTGATCTGCTTGCTTCATTAGGCAGTCTTTCAGAATTTGCCTTCCATGTGAAGGCCTTTGTGTGTGTGTACACTGCTATTCACATGCAGAAAACTACAACTGGACATTTGATGACTATGCACGTCATGTTTTCCGAATTCATGCGCCAAAGACTATGCACGTTATGTTTTCCGAATTCATGCGCCAAAGACTACTTAACAGCAGGGGGCTGCAGGGAATGTCATAGTTCTGCAGCCAACGAAGACGGCTATGACATTCTGTGATATCGATCCGGGACGCTGGATCGACGTACCTGCCTAATCATGTCTTTCCATTTCCGCGATGGGATGTGGCTAACCCAAGAACCACCTTGCTGATTAATGATTTGGACCTGGTTTCACCTGTTTATCAAGGATGATGGACTCAGGATTCTACCAGGCATGTACAACCACATCGTCATTGCAGTTCACTTCCAAAAATCAACAGTGTGTGTGTGTATACACAGTATATAGATTCATATATGCCGGACATGTGCACTTCTGCACTGTACGCATGTGTTGCTTAGTGGAGGGAACAAAGTTTGGTTCGGGGAGGTTTCTGACATGATTTGAAATGGGTTTCAGGTTGGCAGTGCGAGGATAGCAAAAGCACTGTGAAGAGAGAGGTGGTGCAGCCATATCCACTGGTCAAAGATTTCCAGGCGCTGGACTTGGGTATGAATTTGAGTTTCAGTTTCCTTAATCTCATTCAGGGTTACCTCAAATTTACTACGTGGCTTGTTGTTCTGCTTTGAACAAGATCTGGAGTGGGCCGGAGGGTTTTAGGTAGCTGCAACGGAGTCAGGGTTGGCTCTGAAAGCCGGAAAAGATATTAAAAACCCAACCAACCTTGATGTTTTGTCGACTTGAAGATCCATGGAATCTCAACAGCCAGACCAATACCAGCAATCTGGAGATATCTGGAGTGGAAGGTCAAGGTGATGAGCCTATTGCATGAGCAATCCGAGAAATTGCAGGAACAGCAGGAGACATCGGTTGGGAAGGGTCGGGAAGGGCATGGAGTGAGGAGTGCATGGAGACTTGGCCAGTGGATGCTACTTGATGTTGAAGTAATCTCTGGAGTCTCTGGAATAGTATTTCTGCATATTTATGTGATGCCTTCATTGGTGTCAGGACATGCTGGTCCAGCAGGGACGGCAAGTGATGCGTCTGTCAAAGCACTGAGCCGAGCTCCAGTATGTCATGGAGTGCTCCAGCATTCTGAAATACTCCGATCATGTTTGGAAAATTGGCACAAGAGTCATTCGGATCATTGGATCAAACTCAGACTCAGAAAAAGAGAATCAGGAACCGTGCGTTCCTTTTGAACCAGCGGATTCGATACTCCCGGCAAACAGGGGGACGTTGAAGTCAGAAAAGAGTTTCAAACTATCAAGTCACCTGGACATATTTGAAAATGCACTGAGCGGCTGGGGTTCCCCTGCAGCCTCTGCGAAAGTTTTCCTTTTCCTCCAAGGAGCCTCTTTGGTCAGATTAACACATGTAAACACGGATTTCTCAATGATCTGGTCTTGTTTTCAAAACTACCTCGTAAGGAGGTCGCATCTGGTGGCATCTCCCTGCAAGTGCTGCCCCTGAAGGGGGTGGCATTTCGGGGCTAGAGATGATATGCTGGTGGAAAAGTAGCCGCTTTGCGGTCTAAGTCAGAGGATTATGAGGGGTAGAGACGGGTAGAGTAGAGTCAGTTTGGGAAGCTTAGTTCTTTGTGAATGCTAATCTCGGCAACAATGATAATGTCTCGTGCAAAGGGTCACGCTGTCCTTGTGATTGAATTTGTCCTGGAACTTGAGGTGTCGCTTTACCAACCTGGACTGGAAGGTGAATGGGTATGAGTTGGAGGCACTTGGACACCAACAGTCCTGGTGTGATGACCTGGAATGGAGTGCAAAGTTGTGGGACAGTCGGACATTATTCTTAGGATCCGAAGATTCTTAGTTATTTGAAGCTCTTGCAAGCTGCTTGGAAGGTGGGGATTGCAAAGCTCTGCCGGCACAGTATGGCATAATATTTTGTCTGTTTTTATTTTGCTTCCACCAGTCACTCCACAAAAGTCGGGAGTCATGCTTTCCCAGATCACCTATCAGTATCTGCTGTTGACCTGGGTCTTCATAATATATGAATGAGGCATAATGTATGATGAAGAAGTACTGATCTGAAATTGAGAGAGGCATCAAGTTTCAATCAAGGTGGAGATTATTCCCGCCGGATTGATCAGAATATATGAATCCTGATGACGAAATCCGAATGCCAGTCTGAACTGAAGATCGGAAAGGCTGGGTGGTGTCCGGCGATGGACCGAGTTTGCCTTGCTTTGCATTTCATTGTGCTGCTTCTATTGTGGCCCGATTGAAGTCGTTTGCCTGCAAGTGAGACTCTAGCACCTCTAGGCTGATGTCAACTAGATGATACTAGCGGCCTGTTAAGTTTTTCTTGAACTCAATTAATTTGTGTCTATTCAAAGGATGATTTTTGTCTTTCAAGATTGGTTTGCCACAGGTTTGTGGTGGGTGGGACTCATTCAAAAGCTGAGAGAGAGAGCTGTTTTGGTTTACGCCAGGTGGAGCTGATCAATGATTTCGTAGCTCAGGGCTACGGAATGTTGACCCTGGCAGATGACGAGGCTATGTATAATTATGTAAAGTATATGGTCTTGCTGAGTCTTGCTGCATTTGATGCCAAAAACTGTCCTCGTGACCTCTGGCTAAAGTAATTGGAAATGGCCAGACGAGCAGAAACTCAGCCAGAACCCAGGGCGTTCTGACAGCTTGTTATCGCATTGGAACAGTTGACCGAACAGTAGCAGACTTGGTAGAATTGCATTTCAAAATGACAGGTCACCCGGCTGAATGATGTGGAGCCAGAAGAGTTTGGCACCATCGCATGCGTGGGAGCTGGTACAGGCAAGGTTGTTGGAGCCTGAACCCCCAGAGAAAGTTTAAGCTGGGTGATAGGATGCATAAAGAGAGACTCATAGAGGCTGCAGTTGAAAGACGGTTTGCCAGCATCCAGCGTACCGATTGGATCTGTTTTTCTTGGCCAAGATTGCCTCTAGATATTTGATGATATTTGATGATATTTGGACCGTTCAAAGTTTGAAGGCGTTTAAATATAGGCCAGACAAGTTGTTTTCACATGACTTGAGAATAGGCATTGAATATGGCGAAACAAGTATATGTTCATCCTTGCTGTAGGCTATCTTGCAGAGGTAAGCCGAGCATAAAGATATATATATAATATATGTACACATAATTATCGAAGGAAGTTTAGAATGTTTAGAAGTCAGACTTCCGACAGTATGGAGAGATGGAAAAGCAGAGGTGGGAAGAGTCAGAGAAGAGAAGAGAAGAAGAAAGAAGATCAGAGAAGAGAAAGAGTCAGAGGAAAGAAGATGCAGGTGCGCGAAAAGGTAGAAAAGTCGCGAAGCACTGTGTTGGCTCCGGGCGTTCTAAAAGTAGGCTCGCTAAAGCGGCGGGTGCGGAGCCGTCTGGGGAGATGAGAGATGAAAAATTACACGCCATTCTGGCGCGAAGCACATTTCGAAGTCGAAATGTAGAAAGCACGGCACGTTCGGAGCACATTTGGAAGTTGCGATGTCGAAAAAGCGAACGCAGTTGTGGCGCGAAGCACATTTCCACGTCGAAACGTTAAAAGCACCACATGCTCGGACCACTTTTGGAATTGAGCTGTTGGAAAAAAGTGCACGCCTTTGTGGTGCGAAGCATTTCCAAGGCAAACGGTGCAAAACACCTCAGTGTCGGAGCGCTTTTGGAAGTTGAGATGTCGAAAAAGTGCACGCCGTTGTGGCGGGAAGCACATCTCCAAGTCAAAATGTTAAAAGCACCACATGCTCGGACCACTTTTGGACGTTCAGTTGTCGTTTTGCAGGCGCAAGGGATGGTGCACCTTGTCCAAAGTGAGCAAAGCGTGAGGGTATTGTAGCAGTTTCAAAACATTTTGCGTGGCAGGCGCAGTACAAGAAACCATGTTAGGAGGGCAGCGCGCTGATTTCTTGATAGGTGTTGCATTTTGGAGCATGAGATCTTCAGGTTTGCCAAGATGATTTCGCGTGACAGGTGCACCACTTCGTATGACCTGGCCTCCCTTTTTCGTTCCAGCCGCAGCACTTGAGACAGATGGAGAGGAAAAATCGCAAGACGCAATGGTACGAGGCCGTCAGCTCTCCACTCGACTTTCCATTTTTGAAGGAAGTCTCGCAGAATTGCTTCGTTTTTGATGTTGTCAACTTTGAAAATTGAGGAAATCTCGCAAACTTGTTTCGTTTTTGATGTTGTCAAGTTCAAAAATTGAGGATGTTAGAATAGCTTCGTTTTCAATCTTGCAGATAGACAGATAGAAAGACAGATAGATAGATAGGTAGGTAGATAGATAGACAACCACAATTACAATTTCAACTACAACTACACTACAACTACAGCTACAACTACAACTACACGACTACTACAACTACAACTGCTTTTACTACTGCAGCTACAGCTACAGCTACAGCTACAATAGAGAGATCGACAAATCGAGAGAAAGACAAACACATAGAAAGGTAGATAAACGGACAGACAGATGGACAGACAGAGAGATAGATAGATAGATCGATAGATAGTTAGATAGGTAGATAGACGGATGAATAGAGACATGGATAGATAGGAAAATGGGCCGCCCGACAATCCAACCATGTGTCGGCCAGCAGTGGAGTCGCTCTACCATCCATGATTCACAACAACCAAACTCTCCTATAGGTTTCCTATTTTTGAAACTTCCGCCCCCGCCTTGTCCGGTACTACTGGTATGTGATTTAAAAACCTCTTTTCATGAATCTCCATGCAGCGTGAACATTTTTTTTCTTCCAAAACGTCAGTAGATGAATGTATATAATTAGATGATAAGAAAACTTTGTCCGATTTTGACTACTGATAATTAATCCAGTTCTCGACTTGTGTCATGTAGTGTTTCGTCACCATGGCAATTCGGGTGATGGCCCTAAACTACTTGGATGGTAGACTTTCTTCTTTGTGAGTGGGTTGTTCCCAAATCGCAGTGGCCATGCTATGCAGGTTTGGGGCAATGTTTCTTGGTTGCGGACCACAAAACCGGCGAGTACCGATGTTTTCCAAGCGAAGGAGCTGCGCAGATCATGGGCAAAAGTAGCAAACTAGACGGGCTATAGAGCGCCCGCAATTTCTTCGCGCATTATAGAATGGGCTAGCGCCCTGGTGCCGCCGACCCCATCGAAAAAAGGTCGTTACGAAAGCATATGCTTGCATTTGCCCCGCTTGCAAAGGGAATGTGGCCAGTGATGTGAAGACAGGGAAAATAGACCATCGAACCGTCTGTGGGAACCAGTTTTCTGTCAAGGACGGCCTGGTGAATGAGAAAGCATATGTTTACATTTGCCCCGGTTGCAAAGGGAATGTGGCCAGTGATGTGAAGACAGGGAGAATAGACCATCGAACCGTCTGTGGGAACCAGTTTTCTGTTAAGGACGGCCTGGTGAATGAGAAAGCATATGTTTACATTTGCCCCGGTTGCAAAGGGAATGTGGCCAGTGACGTGAAGACCGGGCGAGTAAATCATCAAACGGTCTGTGGGAAGATGTTTTGGGTGAAGGATGGCGTTGTGCAGGAGAAAGGCGACAAACGGCACGCGTGAAAAGCGAGAAGAACGGCCGGTTGTGGTGGCCTTTGGCTGCACGGTTGGGCGTGGCAAAAGGTGCTTAGACATTTGAAGCTTTTGGGAGTTTGAGACTTGGCAAACGGCAGGCTTGAATGCCCAAAATGAAAAGCCGTGATTGAGCCATTGCTGTGGCCTTGTCGGGTACCTGTTGGAATGGCTTTTGCTTGCAAAGGGAATGTGGCCAGTGATGTGAAGACAGGGAGAATAGACCATCGAACCGTCTGTGGGAACCAGTTTGCTGTCAAGGACGGCCTGGTGAATGAGAAAGCATATGTTTACATTTGCCCCGGTTGCAAAGGGAATGTGGCCAGTGATGTGAAGACAGGGAAAATAGACCATCGAACCGTCTGTGGGAACCAGTTTTCTGTCAAGGACGCCCGGGTGAATGAGAAAGCATATGTTTACATTTGCCCCGCTTGCAAAGGGAATGTGGCCAGTGATGTGAAGACAGGGAAAATAAACCATCGCACGGTGTGCGGGAACCAGTTTTCTGTGAAGGAAGGCGTCGTGAAGGAGAAGGCATATGTTTACATTTGCCCCGCTTGCGAAGGGAATGTGGCCAGTGACGTGAAGACCGGGCGAGTAAATCATCAAACGGTCTGTGGGAAGATGTTTTGGGTGAAGGATGGCGTTGTGCAGGAGAAAGGCGACAAACGGCACGCGTGAAAAGCGAGAAGAACGGCCGGTTGTGGTGGCCTTTGGCTGCACGGTTGGGCGTGGCAAAAGGTGCTTAGACATTTGAACTTTTGGGAGTTTGAGGCCTGGCAAACGGCAGCCTTGAACGCCTATAAGAAGCCATTGCTGCGGCCGGAAGGTGCCCTTGAGCTTGTTGGGGTACCTTTTCCCTGCGGAGCTATGCGAACTTTTGTTTGGAGGGTTTTGGAGCCTGGCAAACGGCAGCCTTGAACGCCTATAAGAAGCCATTGCAGCGGCCGGAAGGTTGAGCCATTGCTGTGGCCTTGTGGTGGCTTTTGCGTGCGGGAGTGGCGCGTGTTGGGCTTGTTGGGGTACCTTGTCCCTGCGGAGCTATGCGAACTTTTGGAGCGTTTGGAGGGTTTTGGAGGGTTTGAGGCCTGGCAAACGGCAGCCTTGAACGCCTATAAGAAGCCATTGCTGCGGCCGGAAGGTGCCCTTGAGCCATTGCCCGGCAAACGGCAGCCTTGAACGCCTATAAGAAGCCATTGCTGGTGGCTTTGAGCCATTGCGTGGCGGGAGTGGCGCGTGTTGGGCTTGTTGGGGTACCTTTTCCCTGCGGAGCTATGCGAACTTTTGGAGGGTTTGGAGGGTTTTGGAGGGTTTGAGGCCTGGCAAACGGCAGCCTTGAACGCCTATATAAGAAGCCATTGCAGCGGCCGGAAGGTGCCCTTGAGCCATTGCTGTGGCCTTGTGGTGGCTTTTGCGTGCGAGCATGGCGCCTGGAGGGCTTGTTGGGTTACTTTGTCCCTGCGGAGCTGGGCGAACTTTTGGAGGGTTTGGAGCGTTTGGAGGGTTTTGGAGGGTTTTGGAGGGTTTGAAGCCTGGCAAACGGCAGCCTTGAACGCCTAAAAGAAGCCATTGCTGCGGCCGGGGGGTGCCCTTGAGCCATTGCTGTGGCCTTGTGGTGGCTTTTGCGTGCGGGAGTGGTGCGTGTTGGGCTTGTTGGGGTACCTTTTCCCTGCGGAGCTATGCGAGCTATGCGAACTTTTGGAGGGTTTGGAGGGTTTTGGAGGGTTTGAGGCCTGGCAAACGGCAGCCTTTGAGCCATTGCTGTGGCCTTGTGGTGGCTTGTGCGTGCGGGAGTGGCGCGTGTTGGGCTTGTTGGGGTACCTTTTCCCTGCGGAGCTATGCGAGCTATGCGAACTTTTGGAGGGTTTGGAGAGTTTTGGAGGGTTTGAGGCCTGGCAAACGGCAGCCTTGAACGCCTATAAGAAGCCATTGCAGCGGCCGGAAGGTGCCTTTTCCCTGCGGAGCTATGCGAACGTTTGGAGGGTTTGGAGGGTTTTGGAGGGTTTGAGGCCTGGCAAACGGCAGCCTTGAACGCCTATAATATAAGAAGCCATTGCAGCGGCCGGAAGGTGCCCTTGAGCCATTGCTGTGGCCTTGTGGTGGCTTGTGCGTGCGGGAGTGGCGCGTGTTGGGCTTGTTGGGGTACCTTGTCCCTGCGGAGCTATGCGAACTTTTGGAGCGTTTGGAGGGTTTTGGAGGGTTTGAGGCCTGGCAAACGGCAGCCTTGAACGCCTATAAGAAGCCATTGCTGCGGCCGGAAGGTGCCGTTGAGCCATTGCTGTGGCCTTGTGGTGGCTTTTGCGTGCGGGAGTGGCGCGTGTTGGGCTTGTTGGGGTACCTTTTCCCTGCGGAGCTATGCGAACTGTTGGAGGGCTTGGAGGGTTTTGGAGGGTTTGAGGCCTGGCAAACGGCAGCCTGGAACGCCTATAAGAAGCCATTGCAGCGGCCGGAAGGTGCCTTTTCCCTGCGGAGCTATGCGAACGTTTGGAGGGTTTGGAGGGTTTTGGAGGGTTTGAGGCCTGGCAAACGGCAGCCTTGAACGGCTAAAAGAAGCTATTGCTGCGGCCGGGGGGTGCCCTTGAGCCATTGCTGTGGCCTTGTAGTGGCTTTTGCCTGCAGCGTTGGGCGTGGCAAGGGTTCAAGAAAGACAGGATCCACACCTCCGGTGGTCCCAGGCGCCGCCCCGGCCTTGGCGAAGGCCGGGGTCGGCGGATTATACTGATACTGTATATCCATTCTATTCATTCTCCATTCTCCTGCATTCTGTCGCTAGGAGTGTGCTAGGTGATATCTATATATGCACCACCAGAACACCTCTGGGAGGACAGCATGGAGAATTCGGACCGAGGGGTGCTGGCTCTGACGAACTTAAACTGGAGGCTTTCTTAAAGGAAAACGACACGGAGTTGCTGGATGTTGCTGGATGGTTTGGTTGAGCCCTCCAGCAGAGAACACATATCATGGTTGTATATGGTTGTAATCTCCCCTGCCCATGCACATACTAGCGGAGCTGATGTTCTATTCTTAGATGGATCATGATATCAACCAAGAAAGCAAAAAGGCTGAGGAGGGGGACGTGGTACCTGTTGAGAACAGGTTCGAGACCAAGAACAGATGATCTACAGTAGAATCTACGGCCTTCTGTAGGTCTTCCAGGGGCATTTTCCATTTTTTTGCCTGGCTTTCAGTTGCGTTCTGTTCAGTTGCTGAACGCAGTTGCTGAAGTATTTGAAGATCAAGTTCTCCAACGCCGGCAACCGGATCTCCACTGAACGTGTGGTCTCAGGCGCCCTCAACAACCCCTCACCCCCTTGCGCAGCACATCCAGACACCGCTACCAGTTTTAGATTCTGAATAGAAAGGGCCGGTGTGGGATACCGTTTATATATCATTATTTCACATTACAGTACTAGTAATCTTAGTATTTCCGTCGTTTATCATTTATCATTGTCTATCATGATCTTTTATGATTTATCATTTGTACCGTATTTGTCATCATTATGTATCATCATTTACCTATTGGTTGTAAAAAGTGAGGTTGATCCCTCCATTTATGCATCAACCAACCAGTGGAAACTTGGAACATTTGTGGAATGACATGTCACACCCCCAGTGTGCAGTCTGGAATTTAGTTTTGCAACTCATTTGTGCTGAAGCAAAGAGAGACTCTGTATTCCTCAATGGACTCCCGAACAGGAACTGGGATTTGCAACATCTACGAGTTTTTAGCGTACAAGCACCCCCACGAAGTGGATGAAGAGGTGGACCGTGAAAGATTGGGACTTGGGAGCTGCCAGTGCATGTCACGTGGGACGGGCATATGGAGGCAGATCAGGATGTGGATCTCAGCAACTGTCAGCAACCCCTTGCTCCATCAGTCAACCTACAGTGACTTCCAAATATTACAATTTTAATATATTTTAATATAGTACAGGTTTGTTTTGACTTCCAAGGCCGAATCAATCCCCGAGAAAGGATCTTTACATATCTTTACCATCTTTCACAGAGTCTGAAGTGGAGTGTATTGTAAGCCTTTCATGATTGCACGTCATGCAGTCATTTCCTGGTTGTCTTTGCCACCTGGCGAGCTATTGGCAAGACCTTCGAAGACTTCTGGGATCTTCTGGGCATTCTCACCTTTAAGTGCTTCAGGTGCATCAGTTGCACAACGAGCGGCCGAAGGCAAGATGCTGGCACCTGGGGCGGAGCGCCAAGAGTAAAACAAACTTTGACCTACCGGAACTACTTCATCTTCATTATTCTTCATTGGCATCAGCTGACATCTCCGTAGCAAACTTTGATTGCCAAACCATAGAAACACTTGTTGGCAGAGGGACTCCGCTGTCACAAAACTCTGGCCTGAAGGCCAATGCCATGCCTACAGCAGCATATCTACTGGGAACAATGGAAAAGAGTTGAATCGAATGGAACGTCCAGCAATGGCTGATGAACAGTCAGTCGATTCCTTGTTTCGTGATGTGAATCTGTGTGATAGCTTTGAGGATGCTGGCTTGATCGCCATGAATGCGTAGCTTCGCTGAATTGCTTGGGAGAAGGCCCCGGTATTTCTCTCTATGTATATATATACACACATATATTATACAAATCATTTGGAACCAACCTGAACTTGGAGATCTTATCTTGAAGCCAATAATTCCATGGCTGAAAATACAGGCTCTCAGACAGCCCAGTTGGGGTCTGGCATTTTTTTCTCTCTTCAAGGGCCGGTCTTCCCCAGTCAGTGTGTTTACAAGATCCATACCGTTTTGGAAGTCCAGCCTAAGTGCGTAAATGGTCTACTTGTGTCTACGATCTCTAGGCCATCCTGGGTTCCTAGATCGGCTCAAGACAGTGTTGACTCGGATTCTCACAGGCAAAAGCTTCTTTCCGTGAGTGTCGATCACTCAGCTCTAAGGACACCCGGCTCCTTATGCGAAAAGACCTTAAAGATCTTTTCTGATGTCAGAAACCCCAGTGGTGGGAAGATGGCGCAAGATCGAAGATTTTTGCTGACCGGCTAGCAACTTCAACGACAGGTAGTGGGTGACCGGATGACCGGATGATGGGATGACTCTTACCGGAAAGGCTGTATAAAGTGGGGCATTCTGCGGTTTGGAATTGGACTCTAGTGGATTCAGAGGCAACTCACTTTGTCAAATTTTGATTAGCAGCGCTTCAATTTTGTCAGGCCTATGGAGCCCAATGTGCAACATTTGCACTCTATGTGCAGCCCTTCGGAGGTGCAAAACTCTCTCTTGGAACCTGCCACTGCCCTGCCCCGTTGCGAGACATCGATTGTTGTATGGTTTCGTAGAAATGGACACAAAGGTTTTGATCCATGCCAACCAAATTCAGGGGTCTATTCATGTCAGTAATAATTCATATCTATCTATACTGTACACACACACACATTCATTAATTCATATTGGAGCAAGATTGAATTTGGCACAGAACTCAAAGGCGGCTCTCACGCAAGAGACTTTCGCAAAGCTTCTGGGTATCTGAGATGGTGTAGCTATATAATTTATATAATCCATGGGCCAAAGCATTGTGAATCTTGGGAGGCGTTTACATCACAGGCGGTGTGACCAAGAAGATGCGCGAGTGGCTCCTCAAAGAGGGCTCTTTCATGAAGGCTTACTATGACAAAGGCGGGACATGGAGTGATGCTCAGGACGGATTGGTTCAACTCTGTAAGCACTTTCACACCGAGAATCTAAGTTACTCGCCCACACACAAAGACGTAAATGCCGGAGCAAGGCACAGCAATAGCGGTTGGGAGCGAGAGACGTGAAGCTTCTCAAAACTTGTTGTAGGCCGACTGACACCGGTGCTACACCGGGTACCTTTGATGATTGTGAACAGTGTTCGGCGCCCTAGAGGAACCTTTGACTGTGATTCTTACATATTCTTACCGTTAAAGGGACCAACATATTTGTGTATGTGGCACTGTGGCAAGCTGACAGATCTATGATTCTCCACCCAGGGTGAGCTCAGCTGGAAAGTTCTGCTCTCGTACGTTGGAGTAGATCTCATGCCAAAGATCTTTAAAGCTGATTGTAGTGCGTCATTGGTGATCCAGACCTGATTCTGAAGTGAGATCCGAGTGAATCCGCATCCTAAGGATGATATGGGCCAGCGTGGTGCCCACCTGCGAGCTGTGATGCTCCTCAAGGCAGAGGTGGCAAGGGAAAAGGATTTGGGGAATGGGCTACGATGGATGCTTTCGCCGGGAAAACACCTTTTTCCGTTTTCCCATGAACTTCCGCTCCTTGCAAACGTTGCAGACAAGTGCGATCCATTGGTGAGGTCCTTGCTAAGTCATGCTAAGTCAATATACAAGTAATATACAAGTAACTTACTTGACAACTCACTCTCCAACTGGCCAACCAATTCGCCCAACTCACTCATCAATACACCAGTCTGCCGACTTTACTGTTTACACATTCACGCGTATGCCCGCCAGGTTGAACTCCAAGCCAAGCGCATCTTGGCGCTTGATTGTATTGCTGCATCAAGAGTCAGTGCTACTTGGTGTCCCGTATCTCAACTACCAATCAGAGCCGAGCCCAACAGGGTAATGAACAATGACAACGAATGGAACATGCCTGAGGGCTCTTCGATGCACTCGACGTCAACAACGACGGGGTCCTGTTCTTGTCAGAGTTGGAAGGTCTTTTTGAGATGCGGCTTGGTTGAAGCAAGCGAAACTAGGACATTGCGCATAGGAAACATAGGAAACATAGGCTGTCATCAGGTAGTATCAGGGAAACCGTTGAGCGATTTGTCCAAGGGCTGGGAACAAAGTTGGTCGGCGGCGTCACAGGCAGGGAACTTGTGGGTCGACGGTGCCAAATTGTTTCTCACATTTTCTCACAAACTTCAACATAGCCTGGTAGATCTGTTCAGATCTCTTTGGGGGCAAGATGGGGCAAGTGTCTCAAATGTGTTGCATGAATTAGCTATATAGGCTATATAATATATATTTGATTTGCTCCATCGTGTAAGGTTGCAGCAAGTTTGTATTTTACTGAAAAAAAACAGATTTTTACAGGACTTTGCCTTGGCATGATGAATCACGGCAGAGGAAGGTCATTGGTGGTCTGTCAAACGATGGTATGATTCCGTATCGTTCTCTATGATCATGAAGTGATGTGCTGCAAGCGAGATGTCTGGCAAGACATGACATGATAAGACCTTTGCAGGTTGGATATGGCCGCGCGGTTAATGGAAGAATTGGATTCTGACAAGAACGGCCGCTTGATTGTGAGAGTTTCGTGCAAAGGTCTTCGGAGGTGTTCATCTTACGTCCATCCATGGATCGTATATGGCCACTGACATCTTGCGCCACTGATAGAACTTGCAGCAGCGCTCACAATGTATCTCTGAACGTCGTGATCCATAAGTGAAAGCTTTAAAGACTGACCCTGCCAAAACTTTGTGTCTTCTGTCGATAGGTCCCGCACAGGTCCTGGGTAGGTCCAAGGTAGGTACCGGAAAGGTCTTCTTTCATATCCATATGCGACACATATGCGACACATATGCGACACATTGCGACACATTGCGACACATTGCGACACTCATTTCCACCCTGGATTTGTGATTTGATTTGATTTGTGTCTCTCACTTTGAGGTGCGGTGACTTTCGCAGAGTTCATGAAGGGATACAACAAACTCCCGACACGGATGGTCTCCGTGGCTTGGCACCTGAACAAAGAGACAGGGACACAGCAAGGTTACACTTGTTCAAAGGAAACCATCTAAGTTATGTATAAAGAATCACATGTATATTTTTGCATATAACGTAGATATTTTGCAATATATGCAATAATATACATATATATATATATATAAATACATATATTATATATATATAATTATGAACTAGATCGTTGAACTATGATTCTCGATTACTATTCAATTATTCATAGCCTACTCAATCTCCTTTGGAATCACGCCAGAAGACTGGGACGGCACCCATGTTACTCTACGGAGGTTCTGGGAGAGTGTTTGTATCACAGAGGTTTGCTTGCGGCATTGATTGTTCGACGTTGATCGATACGATTTACTTTCCCACACAAAAGATAAACTCAGGGGTTTCGCCACTGTTTGGCCGCCTATTATCAGCACCAGGAAAGGTTCAAATTGTATCATTGCAAAGGGTACAAATCGCATGGATTCAGCGTGCGTCCTGCGGCAGGAGTCAGCCTTCTTGCACGACCCCAACGATCCACACCATCAGGTTCGGTTTGCTGCTGATATGCGCAGATGTTGACGGCCATATAGACTAGGAGACTGCTTCAAGGCTGTCACGTAATGAGTTGTGCTGCCAGAGTCTGCCACCTTTCGTTTTTTCAATTTTCAATATCATTTTCTCATCTTTCGTTTGCCTCTCTGTGGTGCCCGCAGTCTGATCCCAACTAGACATCAAGCTGTCAATTATATATATATAATTATATAAGTTTCTGTCCAAGACTCGGAGACATACAGTGATATCACAACCATAGGCTTCGTTGAGCGAAAGGGATCATTTTTATATATACACGTTCTGGGTTCCATTTATTCCCCACATCTTTGTGTGGGGTTCTTGTTTTTGGGTGTGCACTTCCGCCTCTCCGCCGCCGCCCGCCGCCTCTCACTCACAGACAACTTACTCACACACAACTTGTCACCACACAACTTACTCACACACACACCTTGTCCACACACAACTTACTCACACACAACTTTCACCACACAACTTTCACCACACAACTTACACACAACTTACTCACACACAACTTACTCACACACAACTTGTCACCAGACAACTTACTCACACACAACTTACTCACACACAACTTGTCACCACACAACTTACTCACACACAACTTGTCACCACACAACTTACTCACACACACCTTGTCCACACACAACTTGTCCACACACAACTTGCTCACACACAACTTGTCCACACACAACTTACTCACACACACAACTTGCTCACACACAACTTGTCATCACACAACTTGCTCACACACAACTTGTCACCACACAACTTACTCACACACACCTTGTCCACACACAACTTGTCCACACACAACTTGCTCACACACACAACTTGTCCACACACAACTTACTCACACACAACTTGCTCACACACAACTTGTCACCACACAACTTGCTCACACACAACTTTGCGACATCGACCGTCACTTTCTGTGGCAGGCGTGGCACTTATGGCACTGGACAGGCTCTGGTGGCGCACTTGGGTCCCAGTTAACGCCGTTGTCGCCGCGGCTGTTGGCGTGGCAGGCGTGGCACTTGGCGACATCTGCCTCCGCTTTTGCGTGGCAGGCGTGGCGCTTGGTGACATGGACGTGCGCTTTGCATAGCAGGCGTGGCACTTATGGCGCTGGACTGGCTCTGGTGGCACGCTTGGGTCCCAGTTGACGCCGTTGTCGCCGCGGCTGTTGGCGTGGCAGGCGTGGCACTTGGCGACATTGCGTGCATTCTGCGTGGCGGGCGTGGCACCAGAGCCACCACACATCACAGCACAACTAGGTCCACATGTCACGAAGTCAGACGACTCTTTCACACACAACTTTATAACAGACAACTTTGTCACACACACGCAACTTTGTCACACACAACTCTTTCACACACACACACAACTTTGTCACAGACAATCTCTCACACACAACTTTGTCACACGCAATCTTTCACACACAACTTTGTCACACACACAATCTTTCACACACAGCGTTGTCACAAACAACTTTGTCATACACAACTCTTTCACACACACACACAACTTTGTCACAGACAATCTTTCACACACAACTCTTTCACTCACAACCTTTCACACACACACAACTCTGTCACTCACAACCTTTCACACACAACTCTTTCACACACAACTTTGTCACACACAACTCTTCACATACAACTCTTAAAATGAGCGACTCTCCACCATCTCCTTAGTCCTTTCTTCTTTCTCCCTGCCACTTCAACCACTTTTTCTGATTATCGGATGAAGTTGACTTGTGGGGTTACCCGGTCCTTTAATTTTGCATCAATTTTCATACAGCCATGGGTTTGTGACTTCCTCTTGTGAGGCAGCATCTATGGAGATGCAAGAGTTGGTATCTCCGCCTGACAGAGGCAATGATCCTGATAGTCAAGCAGCTTTGGCAGAGGCCTGGAGCCTTGAAGGGGTAAGATACTGGCCTTTATGCACTCTGTCCTTGAGGTATTGTCCTTTTTCTTCATCGACCTTTGGCGGATGAAGTGGCATTTGCAGTTTCTTTATAAGAGAATAAATTTGGAAGAACTTTGATCAGGATGAAGTCAATGTACTCATGAGCCTTCTTATTGATTACTTGAGGGATGTCTTGTTCTCAGGAGCTTCGCAAGTTCCAGAGCAAAGAGAGGCGCTTCGGGATTAGACAATCGTTTTTGGTTTCTGTAGGATATACCGGGTGTTTCCAGACAAAACCATCTTCATAAGCAATATAATTCTAAACTTCTGGAGTCTTGGCCAGAATCTTTCTCTACTTACTAGTGTTTGGTGGATGGCTTTAAGAAGCAGGTAGATTTCAAGTGTTTCCACTGGTTGTGCTTGAAGCCACGGGGCTTTAAAATAAAGTGGTCGAGAAACCAAACTTCCGACTTATGGACATAAAGAAGATCAAAGTGCGCGAGGAGGTAGAAAAGTTGCGAAACACACTCCATTGTTTTGGGCCCCGGAGGGTCAAAAAGTGGTCTCGCTAAAGCGGCGGGTGCGGAGCTATCTAGCCAGACGAGAGATCAAAAAATTGCACGCGGCTGTGGCGCGAAGCAGATTTCGATGTAGTTGTTGAAAAAGTGCATTGGGCTGCGGGGCGAAGCGGACTTCGAAGTCAAAGTGGTAAAAAAACACCACGTTCGGACCACTTTTGGACGTTCAACCGTCATTTTTCGTGACAGGCGCAATAGATTATGCACCTTCACAAAAACGAGCCAAACTTGATGGTCTTGTGGCAGTCTCAATAACGGTGGCAGACGTGGGATGTTTGAAGAGGATCCGCAAAGATGCATGTCGCACGGTAGGCGCAGCACAGGAAAAATTTTCATCTGATATGTCAGGAAGTAAGGGCGTTGATATCTTGGGAAGGGTTGCATTTTGGAGCATCAGATCGTCAGGTTCGCTAAGATGATTTTGCACGACAGGTGCAGCACTTTGTATGAGCTGGCCGCACTTTTTCGCGGCATGCGCAGTACTTTACACAGATGGTATGGAAAAATCGCAAAACACATTGGTACGAAACTGTCAGCTCTGCACTCAACTGCTCATGTTTGAATGAAGTCTCGCAGAGTTGTTGATTTTTAGCAGTTTAAACTTCAACTGGCATTTTTGCGGGGGGTCTCGCAGAATTGCTTGGTTTAGCATCTTCAATTTCCATTTTTGCAGGAAACCTCGTAGATTCGCTACATTTTTACAGTTTCAATTTCCATTTTTGGAGGAAGTCTCGCAGATTTGACCTCCGGACAGACAAAGAGACTGACAGACGGAAAAAGAGACACAGACCAGAAACAGATAGATAAACAAATAACCCACCCGTAGGCCCCAAACGGTTTTTCCATATCCATTGCAGCGTCTGCGTGCATGTTTGTGGTTATACTTATACTATCTCCTGGTGTTGGCAACTTGGTTTTTCCATCTCAATTGAGAACAACATGAATCACAAGCAACATGCTTTTCATGTTTTTGCTATCTGGGGTCTATGCTGGCGTAACTCCTGAGACAACAAGAAGACACAAAGGGAGAAAAGAACAGAGATAAGGACCAATCACACATGAAATCGCGATGAAACAAGAACAGGACACTACTAGGGGAGACATATGCATGGGGAGACAAATGCCGTGCATCACAACAAACGACCTCTCCTATAGGTTTCCTATCTTTGAAACTTCCGCCACTGCCTTGTGCAGCACTACTGGTAGGGTTTGCCTGGGAAGACCTGAAGACCATTGTTGGCAGAACATGGCAAAATGATTTTGCGACCCGTTGATGCCCGCGGGTCATTTGCAACCTGTTCCTAGGCGGAAGGCTATCGATCCTTTCCAGGACTGGCCAATGCAACAGGGAAAAGGAAGGAAGAGATGAATTCAACGACGAGACAATTGACTGCATGCTCTGTTAGACGGTTAGTGAATGGTAGTGCCTCCAGTGACAGTTGCTGAGTTGCTGTTGAAAAAATTGGTCGACGACATTCCATGAATTCAGATTCACCGTTTGCCTCGTCTCCGGGACAGGACTCTCATGCCCCGCTCTTCCAGACCAGGCGCGCAGACTCGAACACACCTTACCACACCACACCTGATGATCCTCAATGATCCTTATTGTATCACGTTTTGCTTCTACAATTTAGAGGATTCTGTGAGGGTATTTTGCTTCTAAGATTTGTTTTCAGCCGCGTATTTTGACTTGCCTCAAGTGACTTCGATCAAGACTAGCCAAGACTGGAGTTTGTCTGATGCAGGTTGTACAAGCGCCTCACTGACAAGGATCCAGCCAAAGAGGCACACTGAGCTGCGTGGGTTTTATCAGTTGCAAGTGGCCAGGAACTCCTTCCGTGAGCATTGTTGCAGGCTACACACCTAGCAGCTAAATCAAGCTTGAGCCGCGCCACCAGTCACAAAAGGTCAATCGAGAAAAGACATTTGTATGTGTATGTTACTGCGAGATTGTTGCCTATGCTTCTGGAGATTTTGCAGTGTGCCCATCCCATGACACATGTTCATGTTTATAAAAAGATTGTTTCGACTGACTTAAATGGTTACTCGGTTACTCGTGTCCTAGATAATGGCATCTCATGTTTGAAGACGCAGTTTGTGTTCAACAGAAACGTGAAACGTTCTCCGAGATCAGGTTTCATTTTGGTGTTTCGTAACATACTTGCCCGTGTCCCTTCATTGGCATTCCAAACTTCTCCATTCTGATATGCTTCTTATTTACGGTTTCACGAATGACAGGCCATGAACTTCGGCAACTCAGAATAAGTGTGAATCATATATATATATATGTAGATTACTATATAGATGATATAATGTATAGACTTGGATGATTTCACCAACAATCACCAATTTTCTCTTGATTTGGTCGAACATATGTCTTTGAACATTTCTTCGATCCAGCCCCTTTTGGAAGGACTCATGGCTGCATCGGGTGTACTGGGTGAGCAACTCAGGCGTGCTGGGGGGAAATCGGGGGAATTGAGGTCTCGACTTTGAGAATTTTTACGAATGATGAAAATCCAATTGAATCAATATTTCCTCTCCTTCAAGAAGACCATATCGCTGTTAAATGAATGTCCACTCAAGATGTGATTGCATTAGCAGAAGACAGGTCAGGTTCTTTCTCTCAGCTTTTCAGCTATGGTACGGGGAGCTGGGCTGCAATCGTGTGCCACCAGCAGTTGGCAAAAAGGATGACGCCCAAACTGCTCAAGCCAAAGACTGTAGCATTAGACAAGAGGATCGTTTTCCTGGAAATGTGACAAAATGTCCCCAGCCCAGAACTTGGCACTATGCAAGCAACTTCCAAGAGGCATCTAAGATAGTATTAAGCGCTTTCGCGCGACAGCCGGCCAGGGGCCCATGTTGAGGCGATAGGGGTGAACGGCTTGGGGCTATATGGGCCCATCTTGGGGCTATGTTGGCCTATCTTGGGGGCAATTTGGGCCCATCTTAGGGCTATGTTGGCCCATCTTGGGGATGTTGGCCCATCTTAGGGCTAGGTTGGCCCATCTTGGGGCTATGTTGGCCCATCTTGCGGCCTATGTTCTTTCGGTTCCTGTTCTGAACCTTCTACTCAACTCCAGCCTCAATGGCTGGCCGCTTTCTATTCCTTCTCGTTTCTTCACCCGGCATTTCTCCATCGGGTGCACCTCCTCCTTCGACCACCTCCGATGCTGATGCTGGACCTCTTGTAGCTGATTGGGGTCTAGGGTCTTCCTTTTTCTCCCCTTCCCTTGGAACACGCAAGGCCTTCAACTTTATGCCTCCACCGTTTTCCAAACCAGCACCTTTATCCCCACCAGTCACCCATGTTGACCCATCTTAAGCCACAAGAGCCGAAAAATGGGAACAGCAAAAACACCGTAAAACGCGGGAGTTTTTGATGGTACCGGGTAGGTCGGCGGCAGGGGCGGCGGCCCCTCTCTCCTTCGGAGAGGAGACCTACGGCAAGGACACGGCCAGCTCCGGGCCCCGCGGGCCCGTGGCCGGATTTAAGCGCTTACGCGAGACAGCCGGCCAGGGGCCCAACTATGTTGGCCCATCTTGTGGCTATGTTGGCCTATGTTGGCCTACGTTGGCCTATGTTGGCCTATGTTGGCCTATGTTGGCCTATGTTGGCCTATCTTGCGGGCAATGTGGGCCCAGCCTGGGGCTGTTGGCCTAGCTTGGGGGTATGTTGGCCTATCTTGAAGGCTATGTGGGCTGATCGTGAGGCCTATGTCGGCCGATCTTGAGGCCTGTGTTGGCCCATGTTGACCCATGTTGAGCCAAAAGATCCGAAAAATGGGAACAGCAACAAACACTGTAAAACGCAGGATATTTTGATGGTCGGCGGCCTATCTCGGGGCTATGTTGGCCCATCTTGGGGCTATGTTGGCCTAGCTTGAGGGCAATGTGGGCTCATCTTGGGGCTATGTTGGCCCATCTTGGGGCTGTGTTGGCCCAGCTTAAGGGTTATGTTGCCCCATTTTAAGGCTATGTTGGCCGATCTAGGGGCCTATGTTGCCCCATGTTGACCCATCTTGAGCCACTAGATCCGAAAAATGGTAAAAAATGGGAGCAGCAAAAAACACTGTAAAACGCAGGATATTTTGGCGACGCAGGGTGGTGGGGGGTGGTCGGCGGCAAGGGCGGCGGCCCCTCTCTCCTTTGGAGAGGAGAGAACTGCCGTACGGCAAGGACACGGCCAGCTCCGGGCCCCCAGGGCCCCTGGCCGGAATAGAAGCCGCCGACCCCTGTTGTCACAACACCAACTTGTTAGATTCAAGGACATACAGCACCCACAGGTATACCATAAGCAGCCATAAGCAGTAGGCTGCCAACTTTGCATCCCAGGTCCCATGTTATTTCCGGCGGTCTGTGGTGCCTAACGTTGCTATCTGAACCCACAAGAAGCTAGCTCTAAAAAGCAGCTACTTGTTTGGGAAACGCAATTGGGGACCTTGGCAAGAAGCGACCCTTCGGAGGGCCAAAACATTATGGCAGTCAAGGACGGACCGGCTCCGTTTTGGGCGGTCTGTGGTGCCTAACACTGCTGTCTGAACCGACAAGAAAGTACCTCCAAAAAGCAGTCCCCACACCTAAAAAACAACATCTCCGCCACGCCCACCACACTTTGGCCTCGGCGTGCTGGCAACTTGCTTGGGAAACGCCGGAAACGCGATTGGGGACCTTGGCAAGAAGCAAACCTTCGGAGGGCTAAAACACTATGGCAGTGACGGACGGACGGGCTCCGTTTTGGACGGTCTTGTTCTTGCAGCTAGTTTTTGCTCCTCTTGTCCCCTCTTCTCTGACGCGCTCCCTCTGCTGTCGGCAGGGGTCGGCGGATATGGAATGTGCACCTTTCATTTGCGTTAATTTGCGCAGCAAAGGCAGTAGAATTGTCTTAGCTTATGGCATCTCTCGGTGGTTTTGATGCATCCTTGCCCAGCTTTCTTCATTGCGGCTAGCCACAGGCGGCATCAACTACCATAGTGTCACAGAGTTGCTTGGCACAAAAACCGGCCAGAATTGGGTGGTTAGATGAAATAACCGTTACATGCCAAGAAGAACAAACAGTTTTTTTTTGTGTATCTTGTGAGCCATTTTCGTTGCTTCCAGAGCCACGCATGATGCTGCTGAGTCAATCAGAAATAAGACCAGTCAGAATCAAAACAGAGTTGAGTCGCAAACGCTACCAACTGCGGGGAACTTCCAAGAATCATTTGCCATGCTGTAGTTGTGTCTTGTTGACCTGCGATTTTTTTTGCCAGAGGGCCGCATTTCTCGCAAGTTGACGAAGTACCAAGGGGCAAGGCATTGCAATACATTGGGCCCGACCGTGTTGCCGACATGATCTTCACTAAAATTCCGGACGACAAAAAGTCCTGCGGCAAGCTCAGTGATGTCACGCAGATGACATTTGCTGCTAGATTGGTCTGAACAGATGATGCATAAAGTCATATACAGGGTTTTTAGCAGACCAAACCAGCGACACAGTGTGTTGACGGTTCTGGCAGTACCAATTGAAGCAAGGGCTGCAAGCCAATAGCACATATCACAAGTGACTGAAACAAAAGAGAATCCGCCCCAACCCAGACATGTGCCATCCTTGGCCACCTTGGCCGCCTTGGCCATTTGCAAGGCAAAAAGCATCGATTCCGCATTGAACCTCCCCCAGACGAAGACAATCTGTCGCCGCCCACGGAGTTTGTGGCCTGGCAAGGTAGTGAAACCCGATTGCCCTGCTCAATTTTGTGAATGTGGAATGAGATATCATGATTCAGGATTCTCTTTTGTCCCAGATTAGCATGGTTTCGAGACATACTGCGTGTTTTTGTTTATTTGGGTGCTCTATAATAGACATGGCAGGCAGGGAAGGATAAGACTTAAACCATTGTTGATGATCAAATTGGAAGCTCAACAGCTTCTCAGCAAATGCAGAGTTTTCATTTTTTTAAAGAGCTCAAAAAGACTGTTTTGTCAATTTGGTGTATATACTACGGATACACAAGACCAAGCTGCTTTCCCCTTTTCGTTAATACTTGGATGTGACAGCCTTCCTTGGGGAGGGACTGCGGGGGGGCATACTTCGGCGGGCCTTTTCTTGAGCCTTCACTCAGGCAGCTCCCTCACAGGATGTCTTGGAGCGGCGTGGATGCAGAAGTGAACTGGGGCCAGTAGCTTTTTGCATCGTTTTGTCTTTCGGGGGATTTGTTTTGACAACTCTTCTCTGATTGCGGGAGCGTTTGTCAAGTACTTCAATTTGACTTTGGTGCTGCAACCCTGGTGGGTAGGCTTCATGAGTGGGTCGTCGAAGATGTCAGATGTCACAGCTTTCAGATTGCAGCTTGGCCCAACGCCGAGGCTTTGGATGATCGAGCTTGCAGCCCTCAAGAAGAAGGCTCAGGTGGCAGTGACGACCTGGAGTAGACATATCTTGAAATATAATTGACACATTTAGTTTGTAATATATTGAAATATATGACTCTTAGTTCTTGTTGCCCAGACAATGGCTGAGCCGAACCTGTCAACGAAAGTTTGGTTTAAGAGTGGAAGATGCCGATGTAGCGTAGCTATTCAACAATCGGATGAATAATTGATGATACTTGTTCTCTCAAGACTCTCAAGCTGCAACATTCCTATGACAATCTGAAGTTTTCCTATGCCATGTGAACATGTTTGAGCAGCCCTTTTCTCAGTAGACGGCCGTCAGCCAGCGCTAAGAAAAAACATTGTGTGCTACCCCAAGGTATTGAGGCATTGCGGGCATTGCCAGCCTCCGCAGGAGAAAAGAGCTCGGAAGTGATGCTCCAGGTCAGCTCTGAGCCTGGCGTCTACAGTGTCTACAGTATAGTATCCAGATGCAGGCAGGATCCATCAGCCCGGGATTTAAAAAGCTGCGCCCGAACCTTTGGAGGAATTTTTGTGATCATATATCGCCAATCCATGCTATATGGCAGAGTCTGGGTCAGCGCCTGCAGTGATAGCGACTCATCGAATACAGACTTGTGTTATTCGCTCATTTGTTCAGGGGACTGCATGGATCCGGCTTTTGTGACCAATGCTTAGAGGTATTCTGCCAGCAAGATGTGGAAGTGGCAGTTACTAAGTTGGCCGTTCGGATTTTGAGATAAGGAGGTACAGCAGTATCAGTTTGATGGCAATTCCCTTGCCTTCTGCCTTCTGATCAGATCCAAACTCCCTTTCCACATTCCTGGGAATACATGCATCATCATGCATCCATTTTTTGGCCCTGGTGCCACGTGGTCTTTGACCTGAACGCATTTAAACTTCGGAGACTTGACAAGTCTGGATGGCACGCAAAGCTTCGCGAACCATCGCAGCTGTGAGCTGTGCCGCGTCGCAGCGATGGTCACTTCAATACACTTGGACCGAGTCTGACCGAGTGCAGATTTTTTTCATTCCAACGCTCTTCGGAATTCAAAAAAAGACTGTCTGACTGTCTGTTTTGGTGCGTTCATTTGACAGAGGAGTGAGTGGGAACGACCAGCTAGAAAGGCCGTTTCAATGCACAAATCAGGCAGGATGAAGCCATGGGTTTGGCTTGCTACAAAACACATGTATTGAGTATATTGATTATGAAGGAAAAAACAAGTAGACTTCGATAAGGCCTGCTTCCTACTCCTTGATAACAGACTAAAGGTCCCATAGCGCTGTCCCGTCCCAGGATGCCTTTATGCACAACAAACGTAATTCTCTATGTTCTCCTATATCCGATTGGGTTGAAGTTCTGCTCCTTATGCATCCCAATGCGGAATGCAATGCCAACGGAAGTGTGAAGCGGCCTTGAAGCAACCTGTCCCGAGGCAGCGTTTACCACCTGATAGTAGTCGCAGGCAGCTTAGAACAGTCGTGGAAGGTTTGACGAGGTCCATTATGTGCAGTGGTTGTTCCTGGAATTGATGCATATACATCCTTCGCACGTTTTAGCAGATGTCTCTTTGCTTGTCCCTCCAGATCCGCATGTGCTTTTGTTCGGGATTCTGTTTGTTTCCTTTCGATTCAATAGGCCAATAGGTGTCTAAATTTGTTGATGCCTCAGTGCCACTGAGCGATGCTGTGATGGCTGAGGCAATTTCACTCTGCATCCTGTTTCTTCTGTCCCAGTTGGGCATCGTGGATGCGCTGAGCAACAAGCAGGTGCAGTCCTGTGGCATAGGGAAACTGAACCTGAACCATTTCTGGAAGTTCAACATTTTGAAGTGCTTTCTTGTTTTATCTAGGTTTAGCTTTTTGCAAACAGAACCTGAACAAAGATGAAGGCAATGATGGCACTGGAGATTGCTTTTTTTGTCCCAACCTGCATGCACCTTGCAATCGTAACTTAAGCTGGATCCGCAGATCTATCACTTTTTGGGTGGCGTCATTCCATGCCGTTCTGTGTGGAATCCTACGTTGTTGATGCTGTCATTGCCTTGCGTCTATGCTGATCTGCATTTGCTGCCTTAGACCTGCCCACAAATTCTGTAGTGCTGGAATCTTGCACAGATAGATTGTGTTACTATAGGACATTTTTGGGCAACATGTTGATCTATATCTATCGAAGATATGTAAAACTGACATTGAGAACACATCATGCTTTGCAAACTTCCCCGTGCAGCTCCAGCTATTTGGAAGATGCGCGTAGATTTGCAGCTTTGCAACTGTGCATTTTATGTGTATACACACTTACAAGTTCATACAAGAAGATACATATATATATATATATATAATATTATGGCCGCGCTAAGCAACCCCCGTTCATGTAGAGAGCTCGTTGGCTAATTGCTTTATCAGGTCTTTCCATGGCTCCGTCTAGATTCTCTTAACGCATGGGCGCTGTCCAGTTGACCTGCCCAACTTTCTGCTTGTCTTGCAGGATGTGTTGTGCCGTTCCACGTTTTCAGTCTGGATTTCTCAAGCTTCGAATTTTCCACCGTAAATATATGTCCAGAAATACACTGTTTGTCTACCTGTGAAGCCGTTAAACATCCACATCTACAGAGGCATGTCAAACTGCCAGGAATTCGGCATATTGTCAAAACTTTCAAACATGTGTTTTCTTGCGGTCTGGTCATCAAGATGTTGCGCTTCTCGTGTTCGGTTTTCTGAATGATAGGTTGATTTGCTTCTGAGCTTCGCCACAGAGAAAGAGAAGTACAGGGCCTCAAGTCTTCAAAGCGGTGCGAGAGGAAGCATTCTTTGTTCTTTGGGGGCATGGTCATGAATCCAGGAGCTTAATAGTGCTTGAGTCGCAGAAACATGCAACTTCCAATGTTCACCGAAAGGATTTTGTTGCACTGGCTGAATCTGTCTTTAAAAACCATTAAAGGTATTAAAAAACAGATAAGGATCTCTTATATGTTTTTGTAGCGCACATCTGCAACAAAACTTTGGGATTTTGGAGAGGCCGAACTGTTATGCTCAATAGTCTACTTTAAATGGAGGTTTGCTGGTCTTAAGTTCCTAATTTCAATTGTGGCATGATCATTTCTGTAGAGCCCTTTTAACAAACAACTTGACTGAGGCAACTTGTTGAACAGAACAAAATATGTAAAAAACGAAAAATTGCAGAGGAAAAAATACAAGAATAATAAAGTAAGTGCAATCTGACGAAATACATTTAAATATACCTTACAATTTCTGCATATTTATAATATTTCAGTGTCGAAATTCAGACTTTAGAATCGGGAAAAAATAAATAATTAAATTTCAAAATTTGGAAAATTCTACTAATTATATAAACATTTTGATATTATTGCGATTTGGAGAAATTTAGATTGATAATAATAAGAATAAGGCTTTATATTAAGTAAATATATAATATAATTATTAAAAAATAATATTAATTATTACTAGTATATTTAAAGGCTTACACCTGACAGCCGGGCACCGGCGAAGCAACGACTTTTGGCTTATGGTGTGGGAAGATTGGGCCGAGATTCTCCGCACAAACCCAGGGAGGGCTATGTTGAACTGAGGCAGGCATAATGCGCAGTGCTTGCCTGTATGGAAGCAGTTTGGGCCTATGTTGAGCGGAGGTTGTGCCCATGTTGGGCCAAGTCGGGCCCATGTTGAGCCATCTTGCGTCCATTTTGGGCTTATGTTACGCCATGACGGGCCCATGTTGAGCCATGTTGGGACCATCTTGGGCCTATATTGGCCTAGGTTGGGCCTATGTTGGGCTATGTTGGGCTTATCTTGGGCCCATGTTGGGCCTATGTTGGGCCTACGGTGGCCTATGTTGGGCCTATGTTGGCCGATGTTGAGTCATCTTGGGAGTCCGTTGCTGGAATCTATGGTTGCAATGTTGGGCATTTCTCCTAATTGTTTGTAACTGGAGTACGCGGTGAAAGAGCTGGACCCAGCTCCGCTTACAGAGCAGGATGATGAGGAACCAGATTGTGGCGAAGCTACATACCTTCCGTCAAGACGTGGCCTTATCCTTTTTCTCGGCGATGGGGCTGAGAGCAGACTGCGATTCAAACAGTTCCACAAGGGGGCGCACTCCTTCAAGATGCCAGAGTTTCGAGTGGCCAACAGAGATGTGCCCATCCCTGCTGGTTCAGATCTTGCTATATTGACCGCCCGTTCATCAAGCGCTTTGAAGTCCCAAACCAGGTGCTTGAGATGAGCAGGGATGCCCAAAACCTGTTCAGTGGCTTCCAGGCATCATTTAGTGTGCAGCAGGCCATGCTGAGAAGTACAAACGATGCCGCACAGAGTCGTCTTGGAACGGCCCCTTGGCACCTGGGTATCCTGTCAGCTTCGAGGCTTGTGTGGGATGTTGCAATGAATGAGATAAAGGAGACGGAAAAGTTAGTCGTGCAAGCGCACCGCGTGCAGCGGGCCTACGATGAGATCCGTGTGGCGTACGCCTTGGTGTCCGTGTGGAGCGCCCAGCCTCTACCGAGAAACTTAGATTGTCCGGATTGCGGCGACATTGCTCCGCTGCTATCCTCGGCTGAAAGGCTGAAAGCTGCCTGCAGCTCCAGTGCCGAGTCAATTTGAGCCTTTCCTGTTGACCCAAACAGAAGCCGCGCCATTGAAAGGTGTGGAAGCAGAGGATGCGGCGAGACTTCCTGACGATGGTGAGAGTGATGAGATCGCGACACCTTCGGGTAATGTGGCGGTGGATCTTGGTACTGAACCTCTTCAAACAAGTGGTCTTGTAGAGGTGCTACTTACCAGGAAGGAGCTAATGGCCAAGATTCTTCAGCTGAGCGATCCTGAGGTGTCATCTATGATCGAAGGGTATGGTCCTGCGGGAAAATTAATTTAAAACCCTGCGTTGGGATTAGTTATGTTTAGCGACCGAGAGACTTGGTAGCATAATAGGGAATGACGCTATATTTTTTGGTGGTATTGTATCGAACTACATTGGATAAGGGATGTTATAGCAAGTTACTTGGAACGACCTGTAGCGTGGGTTTTTTTTAGCAATACCCGAGGAAAGCCAAATAGGAATTATGTCGGAAAGAAATTGAGTGCATATATATATAGATTTTTCGTTTGTTTGGTGTAATTTGCCTATACCTTGCAGGGCTACATGGCTGATCTATCTCTAACGTGGATATAAGTTAAATGATAAGGTTCGGAGCAAGGTTAAATGATAATATATGGCGATATTTGATATGATATATATATATATAATAGATAAAGATAAGATAAAAATAGATTAGGTTAGGTTAGATTAAATAGATAAATAAAAAGAAATAAACAGATAGATAAAAAGAAATGGAAAGATAGATAAATTAATTGATAGATTATTAGATTGCTATATATATATAAATAAAAAATATAAAAATATATTTATTATGTTTAAATTTTATGATTATATTGATAAATTTGTATTTATAATATTTGTAGTGGGTTTTATATAAGGGTAATATTAATTATTG